AAATCAGACATTTGGTCTTTTATAAACATCATCAGGTTGGGATTCCACTGCAGTTTATTCCAACAGAACCATGCCGAGCCATACAATTGTGGGAGTGGGTTTTTTGAGGGGGTTATTTCGTAGTGGTTTGTTTTCCTTGGTTATTGCTTCTTGACCAGTATCACCAAAAGTGTAACACCATGTGTTTTTGGCATCAGAGCAGTGTTAAATAAGCCTTTTCCACTATAAATCTTCCCTGTCACTGGGAGGGAGGATGATAAATTAGCAGTTAAAAGTTGTTCTAGGATGGGACTTAGTAAGGAAATGCTTAGTTCAAGAATAATGAATGTCTTTTAAAGTTTATTTTCTTAAGTATAGCAGAGGTTCAAGGCATCAGATACTTGGCTTTAAAAAAACTTTTGTGCAGGGAAAAGTGTGTCTAATTATGGAGCAATGCTTGATTAAAGTCCTGCAATGCATTAGTTTCTAAGGTGCCCTGATGGCTTTGTCTTCTTTTAGAAGTTCACTCAAGAATTATATTCCAAATCCATTGTGCATGCATGACAATTTTTGGTTTTTCACACAATTCCTAGAGTCTTTTCTAAGCATGCAGATGCTGGGTGCATGCTTGCCAATGGAGTTGTAATCCACCTGGCTTCACTTGAGACCATGAATTATCTTTTACTCTGCCTGCTTGGATTTCATGGCCTGTGTTGAGTTTTAGGAGGCAGGTTAAGCATATCCCACTGATTTACTTCCTCAAAGAGGAGGGGAAATGTATCCACCCAAACCTGCATTAAAACAGCATTGAGGCTGTTACTGCAAACAGGAGTGGGTGAAGAGATTTATTCCTGCCTGTAAACTTGGACCATATGGTCTGCAAGAGGGAGACACAAAAATGTTGGTAGAAAAGGTACTTAATTGGGACTGCTGGTTCACCTTTGTTATCCCACTGCCTTTTATAAAGAGCAGAAGGGAAACTGGTGTGAAAAGCTCTTCCTTAGGAGTCAGTCCTAGTGTCCAACTACCTGGAGCCACCCTGGCTTGCAGAGAGAGGAAATGTGGGTGTCTGCAGACCAGCAAAAGCAGAGAAACTCCTTTTCTTCCCCAGTGCCATGCCAGCTCTTGTGCTGTCTTGACAAAGTGTCTTTTCCAAGCGTGGCATCTCTGGGCCCAGAGACATCTCTGGGCTCAGGGAGCAGAGCAGCCTCCACAGAAAGCTGGGAAGCTCCATTTCAGCTGCTGCCAGTTTGGTGGGTTTGGGTTTGTTCATGTTCTGCCACAATCTTAGATGGCAGCTGAACTTGCTTCATTCTAAGCTTTTCTGCTCTCTTTCCTGTCTTCAAGAGGCTTCTGGAAAGGTGTCTGGGCTCCTTACTAAAATATAGTTTGTTTTTTTTTTTTCCTCCTGTTCCCAGAGGGAGATCTATTTATTTCTCATTTAGTTTGTTAATAAGACTTCAAAATGAAGACAGTGTGGAAAAGCTGACTGTCTCTAGGCCCAGCTTTGTGCTGCTCAGGGGAGACATCAATTCACCAAGCTGTGCTGTGGGGATTCTCTAATCTGCCCTGCACCCTGTTAGGTGTTCCCAGGGATTCATTAGGGGGGAAGTGCATCCTTGGAGAGCTCTAATTGAGGTGTTAACAGCTGCAATGTGAAGAAACAGAGCTTGCATTATTTGGGTATTTATTTTAATGTCAGAAGCTTTTGGAGTTTTGTGGCTGTCACATTCCCTGGGAGGCAGAAACAGAAACATCCCTGGTGGATTCAGGGGAATTGGGGCTCATGCCAATGTGTGGGGCTGGACTTGTTGGAAAGCAGTTAGGAATCTTCTTGTTTCAACCCTTTCCAAGTGAAAGGATGGCTTGGCTTCCTGCTGCATTCTTCTCTGCAGTGTGGTTCAAGAAAATGCCTTTCTTCCAGGATGGGGGAAAGCCCTGGAGACTGTGGAAAATAACATAAAACTGTATTTCAGCCAAGGGAGTTTGAGTGAAGAAGTCTAAACTAGAGGTAGGCAGTGAAGATCTGTCAGACCTGTAACTTTTAATTTGAGCATGTGGGAATTAGGGGGGGTTTAAATATGCATTTGAATTTGATTTGGCCAGCTTTTTTCTAAAGAAAATACCTTGAATGCAAGATATACAAGGACAATGATTCAGGGCTGTCATTTGTAAACATAAAGGTTGGCTGTAATATAGATGATTTTAGGCCAAAAAAAAAATGGTGTGTGGGCTTTGGAGCACAAGCAAGTGTGAGTGTGCTGGTTCAGCCATGGAGTGTGGATTGAATATTTGTGAACAGCAGCAGGCACAAGGACAAGAGCCATCAGGCTTTGGTGCTTACCAGACCCTTGCAGGAGCTGATCTGACAGAAAATTGAGCTTTTTTTGGTCAGTTAATGCTGTTTGTACAGAACTAGCCAATTGAAGTGGCTTGTGAATGGTTGGTCAGGCATCAGAGGTGGTGCCGGACCCTCTGTAGGGATCTGTGTCTGCAAATGAGGTAGGAATAGGGTGGAAGGAAGGACCTTCCTGTGACACAATGTTAATTTGACTTTTTAAATCATGCTTTAAAATTGGCTTATCTGGGAAAGCAAGTGTTCTGTTTTGTCTCTGAGGCTTGGTTTTTTTGCTGTTATTACCACATCACACCTCAGCTTAGATCCCTGCATGGTAAATCCTTGCTTGTATGAAAAGCATGAACAATCTTGGTGGGTTAAAGCAGATTGGGACTGTATGCAGTTGAAAATCTCAACCAGAACAGGAACTTGGTGTGGTCCTGAACATGCCTGCTTTGCTTTGGGGAGATAAGTAATGAAAGCTGTGTAAATGTATTTCATTCCCAGTAATTTCCACCTCTGAGAGAATTCTCTTAGTTTCTTCTGTGTGACTTGGGAGACACATCAGGGAGGTTTTTACTCATTTTGTCAGATCTACTATGAGACTTTAACTGATGCTTGATTGAAGTAAGTGCACAATCAAAGCCTGTCTGCTTCCTCAGAGGAAGAAGCAATTTTTTATTTTATTTTTATGTTAAGTGGGTTGTATTCCCTCTGAAAGAAAGCTTTTTCCTGACTTCTTAGGGAATAAAAATCTAGGTCATCTTTCTTCTTTGTCTTTTTGGAGTTTTTCCTGTGGTTTTATTAATTGGGATTAGATGCTCTTTGGATCCAGTTCCATCCCATTAGGCTTCCAAAGTCTCTACAAGTTAGTCATGGGAGGTGATTAAATCACTGCTGAAATACCCAAGAGGTTATTTCCTTCTGCCATCCAGTTTTGACAGTGGATATTTGCTTTTACATTTGGCTCTGAGTCATGGTCTTGATACTTCTGATGAAGTGGTGTTAATGCCTCAGTTTAATTCTTTTGTTTTAAAACTGGCATATTTAGAAAATCTTCTCTTTTCTCTGTTGAGCTATCAATTGCCATGTCTGCTTGGTAATACTTCTTGTCTGCTTAGCAAAGCTCACAGAGCTCTACTCTTCTTTCCCTGTAAGTACTTTTTGGAAATTTAAGTTATGGTTCTGCTCCTTGTGACCTTGGCAAAAGGAAAGCTGTTGTTTATATCCTGTCTCTCCAGTCAGTAAATGGAAAAGTAAATTCTTTTTTCTTGGTTCTGGAAATTCAGTCTGTTTGAATCTGCAGCCTGGTTTGGAGACTTTACTGGAGCATGCAGTGACAGGACAGGGGAATGGCTTCACACCAAAAGAGAGCAGGTTTAGATGAGTTATTAGCAAAAAATTCTTTACTGTGGGGGTGGTGAGGCTCTGGGATAGGTTGGCAGGAGAAGCTGCCCCATCCCTGGCAGTGTTCAGGAACAGCCTGGATGGAGCTCTGAGCAGCCTGTCCTGGTGGCAGGGGATTGCAATGGGATAATCTTTAAGGTCCCTTCCAACCCAAACCATTCTGTGCTCCTGGAAGTGGCTTTGGGTGCCCACTTGAGGAGTTTGTTCCACCATGCTCAGCCCCTCCTGGTTTGGGTGAATCTCACCCTTTGAGGGTGAATATGGTAATGGTCTGGTAAATCTGTGGTGAGAGCAAGTTCTTCTCAAAAAGAAGGCAAAGACAAGAGCTATTTAAACAATCTCATATTAGGATGGTTTTTCTTTTCTCTTTCTTTTAATTGCATCTACTTCATTTTAATTGAAGCCAATAATTCTGTGGGTTTGTGAGGAAGAAGGACAACGAGCTTGCTTCTGTGTGGTTGCATTAGCTGTCAGATGTTAATAAGCCATATGCATATGTTTAATATTTATGAAATTAAGCAAATAGATTCCTGAGTCATTTTAGAAAGCACATGTGTCTTGGTAACTGTAAATTCACAGCAGGGCAGGTCCAGAAGTGCCCAGAAGTTGCATTTGTGTGCATGCTCTTTGTTTGGGGCTTTGCTTGGTTGTTCCTCCCCCTGGACAAATGAAGGTGAAATTTGAAGAAAAGCCAGGTCAACATTTTGGAAGATGAATTGAATACTCCCCTGTTCATATCTGGTGAGGAAATAAGGAAAATTCCCTGAAAGCAACAGGCTCTGGCACAGGCACAGCTGAGCTTGCGTGGGGACACTTCAGTTTCATGTTGCTGCTTCCCTCCCTTGGTTTGATGATATGCAGGGAACAGTGGATGTTTCCTCACAGAGCACTCTGGCTGCAATAAAAATCACAAATAGTAGTCCTAACAGTGATCTGAATTTTATAAAGACATTTACCTGGTTTCTCTTTTTAAAAAAATATTTTGCAAGAATTAATTTTGACAAGACCAGATCTGTGAAAAGATCTATAGCATATGCTGCTGTATATGACAAAATTAAACTTTGTCATAGCTAAAAACAAATGATATTAAGTTGGTTTTTTTTTTTTTTTTTTTTTTACTATAATGTGTGGGGAGAGAATATATAAGGAAATTCTTGCAGGTTTTTTGTGTGGAATGTAGGTAAGTTCAGATCAGTGAGAACAAGATGGCTCTGTCACAAAGGAACAGTGAGGAAGTCATCTGTCTGATAAATATTTTGCCTTCAAATTGGGGAACATGAGGTAATGATTTTTGCTGTGCCCACACAGTCCTGCCTCAATGGCTGGCACTAAGGTTAGATTATGTCTAAGCATTTGCAGAATCCTGGGCTTAACATGAGCATGACAACTTCTTTAAGATTTTAGAGAAGATAAATGCCTCTGCTGAGAGTTAGGAAATGTTGGGATGCAGCAGAGTGAGAAGAAATGTATTAAGGTGAAAGTCCCCAAGTAGAATGTTGTGCTCTTCATTTTTTTCTTAGTTCCAAGAAGTGTGGCCAGACTGCCAGGGTGGCAGAGGAGGACTGATGTTCCTAGACAGCAAAAGGCAAGGGAGTGGTTTGGCCAGTGTTGACACCTTCAGACTGCTGAGCCAGAATGGGAAGTGTTGGGTCTAACTGGGCAGGAAAGTCTGGCACTGGGATTAGAGGTATTGCAGGAGCTGCCCTCAGAGCCAGCGTGAAGGAGGAAGATCTCTGATCCCAGACAAGTACAGGCAGACAAATGTTTAACTTGTCTTACTTGCAGGGTGTCATGTGGTTATCTGTAAAAAAAAAAAAAAAAGATATCTTTGTGGGGATTAGGAACTGAACAATCTGTAGGTGTAACTAGTGGCTGGGTAATCTTTACTGTGAGTACATGAATAGCCTTGTGTAAACAGAAGAGTCCAGATTGTTCTGGAGGTAGTGTCTGCAGGCTTTAAAAGGCTGAAAAATCATCCTTACACACCCTGGATGGTGTCAGGAAAGACTGTCAGTGGCAGTTGTGTGGTTTGATAAGCTTGTGACTGATGTGCTGTGAACTACAAATGGGAGGCTGCCTTTAAATCCCCAAGATCCCTTGTTTTAGGAAAAAAATGAAAAGTTATCTTTAGTTTTGGGGTATGTTGTGTTGTGTAAAGGGAGAGAGGGAGGTTAACAGGACTGAGGGCAATGCCAGGGTGATGGGATGTTGCTGAACATTCAGCTGAGCAGGCTTGGAGGAGTTCAGGAGCTGCAGAGATATTTGTTGGGCTTAGTCTAGAAGTGCTGCATTTCTTTGAGCTTTTTAGTTTCTACTCTTGCAACAAAATTTTGCCAAACACCCCCTTGATTTCTATTCTGTCTGCCTGGTTTTGGGGAAGGTAATACAGGAGGTGTGTGCAGAATTATCTGCCTTCACATGGGCAGGATCTCAGTGATGGGTGAGTGGAACAGCCCCATGGAGATTTGTGTCTTGGGGTGAAGTTAGGGAGCTCAAATTGCATGGAGTCTGTGGGGAAACCTTTGCTGCCAGCTGACAGATTTTGGAAGGGAGCCTTCTGTTGTGCAGGCAAGTTGTGACCTTGTGGCTCTGGGGGAGCTGAAATGCTGGAGTGGGGTCCAGAGGGGAGGCTGCCTCCCAGTCTGACTGTGTGGCAGAAAGGAAGCTGCAGAGATCACAAGGGAGACTTGCTTAGAGAAAGGGACATGGCTGCATGAGGAGTTGAGAGGGGGAGTGATGGCTGGGACAATCTTGGAAAACTGGAGCTCAGAAGTGTGTAGCAAGATGTAAAGTTCTTGGAGGATGAAGGCATGGGGGAGCAGTGGCAATCAGAGGTGAGGACAGTGAGTGTGTTTTTGAGCATTGTGCTGTGGGGCTGTAGGTGTTTAAATGGAAATTTTCCAAGCCTGGATACAAAAGTCTTGGCCAGGAGAAGAGGAAAGGTGCAGGAGGCACTCAGATCTGTGTTCCCTCACTGGGCTGGAGCAGCACCTGGGTGTTGGAGTGCTTTACAGAGCTGGCTAAGTGCCTGGAGTGCAGCATTTGCAGGGGCTCTGCTGTGCCCATGGGATGCCCCTGTGGCACTACAGGCTCTGGGTAACTCCTCCTGCCCTCCCTGGCAGCTGGGCTTTGAGCAGAGGAAATCCTATAGAGCGCTAATGCTAATCACTCTCTAATCAGGAATGTGAAATTTGGGCATGCTTCAAGCATTAATTATAGTGGCTTAATTTCCTTATCTGGTAAAGTGGGGATAATGCTACCTCATGGTGGTTTTGAGAAGGTCAGTTATTTAATGCTGACTGTGCATGCCAAAGAAAACTGGAGAGGGGGAGAAAAACAGTAAACGTGTCGAAGCAGGATTTGAGCAGGGCAGAATAAACAAGGTCTGAGGATAAACTGGCATTGCCTGAGTGTGTTAGCTGAGCGTTGCCTGTCCAAAAGGCTGAAAGAGGTGGGATCCTAACAAACTGCAAAGAACAAACCCTCATGCTGGTGCCTGGCAGGCCATGCACTTTAACTGTGTGTTCAGAAAAATGTGTAATGCCCAGGCCATATATCATGCAGGTTGTTAGAGGAATAACATGACATTGAGGCCTTTACCCTGCCTGGCTTAGTTGACGTAAGGTAATGGATATTGAGGGGAGGAGCTGAGTAGCAGCCTGATTGCATAAGCCTTTTTTCCAAAGGAAACTGGCTCGCACAATGTGGAGATATAATAAATTTATATTGTGGTGCACGACCACAAGAGGGATCAGACCGCTTGAATTTTCACTTTTTCGGTTTTGGTTCTGCTTTCTTTCATGTAGCCTGTGTTACATATGGAGATTTTAATTGTCTGACTTGCCAATGGTAATATGAGAATTTTGGTTGAGTAGTGGGCTTGGCTGTAGTTTGCTTTCTGTCTGTTTCTTGGCTTCAGTCTCTGCAGTAAAAACAAAGCTGCATTACTGCATGACTTTGATAAATAGATTTACATTTCTGCTTGCACAGGAAGTTACCTCTTACTGTTTGCTAGGTAAAGCTTCATTTCCCATACTCTGGGTTTTTTTAAAGTGAATATTCTAAGAAGTGACTCTGCCATTGAGTTCAGATAAAATACAGAGCCTCTATTTTATATGAGCTTGATCATTCAAACCTCATTTCTCTCTCCTGGTTTCTTTCTTCTGGAGTATCAGTTGTGTAATTGGCAAATATATACAAGAACAAATGCTGACCTGAAATGACCATTCCTTGACTATAATGGACCACAGTTATTTTCTCTTACACCTAGTTAGCCCAACATTTTGTTTTAAAATCCATTTGTTTTCTAGGTAGAGTAGAAAGATGCAAAGTTGCTTGAAGGAGAATTGTCCCAACTTGTTTCTACTGTGTCCTTCCTCCACAAATATAGAAGCAGCTCTATCATTGAAAATTTAATGAAGCTTTCATCAATACAATGCTGTGCCTCTTCATTCTCTGAAATGTATTCATTTTTAATGAGCTTCTAATTCCAGGTAACAGGAACAACTGAACATAACCATAAATCTGATTTATTTGTGAACAGCATGTCTCACATAATTTACAATTCCTTAAGTTGTCACTGATGACTTTTGGCTGCTTTTGGTAGTTTATTAAAATGTTTTGTTTCCAACTTTTTTTTTTTTGTAAAAATCAGCATCAGCAAACAGAAGCAATGACCTTAAAACAACAAGGTGATTATCCCAGTGTTATATTGGAGTATTTGCATTTTTATTTTTTTTTATTTTAAATTTCTTAGCAAGCCTGGGGTTAGTTCCTTAGTTAAAAAGTACAATAGTGGGAAAATATTTTGGATATGTGGGAGAGCTGGTAATACTGAACAAAATATAGTATTGTGGATAATTAATTACAGAAGATGGAAATAGTCTAGGAATAGCTGTGTACTGCACTCTGGACAGTCTCAGACTGGAGATACCTTTTTGGAGATATGAAACATCCAATAATGTTGCACTGCTGGAAGAAACAACCAGGCTTGCTTGGCTTTTTCTTACTGGGAGTTAATCATAATCCTGAAAAAATAGTATTTTTTACCAAATTTTATGCAACAATGACACCTATGAGTACATAATTACATTTTCAATTCAAATAAGAAAGCACTAACACTGAAACATTGTTTTGGTCATATGAAAATAGTTTATTGTTCTATCTGCATTATTTAATTTATGGTCCTTTTATTGTTTCTCATAATCTTAATTGACATTTATCCATAAATATTTAATTTGTGTTTTGGATGTTAATTGCAGAAAAAGGCCACATAGAATGTGATGCCACTGAGTAGGGAAACATAAAATTTAATAACCAGAAACATTCTCTACTGCACATAGCATTGCCTTTGTAATAATACAGAGAGTAATGTAGAAAGAGGGGATGGGATGAATACCATTCTTGGCAATATGCAATTTTTTATGTATTAAGTTCCTTGAAAAGAAATATTAGTTTAGTACCAGGAGGAAGCTGCACTTGCGTGGCACATGTTTGTATCCTGATTTCTTTTGACAGTTCTTATTTTCTTACATTGATTTGCTTGGAGCATTACACCAGCAGGATGTTTTTCTATATATATTTCTATAAACACTTTTTAGCAGCTTCACAAATGGAAGCAGTATGCTGAGCACATTACATGGATATCCTGAACTGTTTCAGGTGTGTGAAGCAGCCCCACATTTCTGTTCAACCTTTAGTGAGACTGAGAACTTGCTGTCCTTGGTGGTGTCTCTGTGGTGCAGACCCAGGGGAGGTGTTGTGCTGGCATCTCCTGGCAGGTGCAGCTCTGGAGCAGCGTCCTTGGCACTGCCAGCGTTGGCACGGGCTTGGGGCATCCCTGAGAGCCACAGTGGGGCAGGGGTGGTGCCCCTGCTGCCCTCAGTGAGCCCTGCCCTGGGGAGGGAGCTGTGGGAAATGCAGCGCAGCCTGGGGGACGGAATCCCTGCTCTGGATTGTTCCCCCCTGCATGGCCCTGCAAGAACCCTGGCTTTTTACCTTTTAAATGCTTTCCTAAATGATTTTCAGGGCTTTCAGAGACTCCTTCCTTACAAGAGCAGATCTAGTGTGGGCAATTACATCTGAGATGTACTGAAGTAGGAAAGTGAATGTTTGCTGTGCTCGTGTGTTATAGAGCTCTGTGTCACTGATGGACACTTCCACTGTGGACTGATATCCATATTTAGTGAATTCTAGCCCTGCAAGAACACTGCTTCTTTACCTTTTAATGCTTTCCTAAATGATCTTCAAGGCTTTCAGAGACTCCTTCCTTACAAGATCAG